CTATGAAAGTGGGCTTCTTAGGGGCCCGGCAGTACATGTAAGTACTGGGCTGGATCAAGAGGAGGAGAGATTAAGCAAGGATTATTGTATTGCTATAACAGAAATCAATGTTGTGCAGGATCATAATCCCTTACAGGGGGGTCGTTTTCTTTGTCTTCTCAAAGAAATTCTGGGAAGGTTGTACCTGGGAGTAGAGTGGGAAGGGGTAAGTACAAACGTGTTTATTCAAGATCAAGGAAGGGGGATTTAGGAGCTGTATTGGTACAAGTTCGAAGTATTCTTATAATAATGAGGAGGTGGATGAGACAGAGGCTTTGGAGTGCTGGAATGTAAGTGAATTGTTAGGGATTACATTTAGAGGGGGAAAGAAGCTTTTATGAACAAAGCGATTCCTTTGGTGAATAAGAGAGAAGTACATGGGGGAAATTAAGGGGTGCTAAAATTCAAGGTTATAGCTGGATATTGATGATTAGTTGGAATTTAATGTCTTGGAATATTAAGGGTTTGGGTAGGAGGATAAAAGCTAGAGTTGTTAGGAGGGTTGTGGAGGAGAGGAAGCCTTTAATTTTATTCATTTAGGAATTGAAAATGGAAGTGTTGAATCAATCGGTAGTGAGGAAAATGGGAGGAAATTTGTTGACAGATGCGGCAGTTTCAGCAGCTGAAGGTGCTGCTGGAGGTCTAATTACTTTATGGAATGAAAAAGAGTGTCAGGTTCAAGAGGAGATCATTCATAGGAAATTTGTAGCAGTTAAGGGTATTATTGATGAGGTACTAGGGTCTTGCTGGTTCATTAATGTGTATGGTCCGAGTGTGGATTCAGAAAAGGAGGCGGTTTTTGGGGAATTGCTTTTATTTTTGGAGAATGTAAACTGTCCAGTCTGTCTCGGAGGGGACTTCAACGTTGTTATGTCACAGGATGAGAAGATTGGAGGTGCGGTGAATTTAGCTTCTATGTTTGCTTTCAGTGAATTTGTGAGCAAAGCTAATCTAGTGGATCTGCCTATGGTTGGAGGTCGATTTACATGGTGTAACAATAGAGAAATACCAACTTATGAGAGACTAAATCGATTCCTAGTGGATCAAAGTTTTTTATCATTGTTCCCTATGATAACACAAAAACTCCTAGAAAGGTCTGTTTCAGATCATAACAGCATCTTGCTAGAAAATAGGGGATGGAATTGGGGCCCACCCCGAAACCGTTCAAATTATTTAATTATGTCATGGAAGAGGTTGGGTTTTGTAAGATGATGGAGGGAGAGTTGCACAAGCTTTGTAGAGTGGAGAATAGACAACAAATCTCTAGCGTACTAATAGGAGTGCAGGAAGCAGTGAAGAGGTGGTATAGGAAGGGATATTTAGAGATCCTCGGGAGAATAAATAGGTTAGAGAAAGAAATTCGTGAGAAGGAACTTTATTTGCAACAAGGTCTCCCCATGGTGTCTATGAAGAACTTAGTGGAAGCAAAGAAAGAGCTGTGTGACTTGTATAAAAAAGAGGAATCAATTTGGCTTCAAAAGTCAAGATTGAAATGGAGTTTGGAGAGGGATAAGAACACCAGATTTTTCCACCAATGTGCAAGAGGTAAAGGAAGGAGAAATGGTATCAAAGCCATAAAAGTAGATAATAAAGACATTTCAGATCCAAAATTAATTAAAGCTTCAATGCTGCATTTTTTCAAGGGGTTGTTTAATCAGGAAAATACATTGGAAGTTGAGGAGCTGGACTTGTAATTTTTGCAACTCTCGGAACAACAGAGTATGACCATTGAGAAGCCTTTTTCTGAAGAGGAAATTTGGGGTGTAATTGCTAATTCGGATAGTAACAAAGCACCTGGACCAGATGAACTGAATTTAGGTTTTTTCAAGAAGTTCTGGTCAAGCTTGAAGGATGTTCTGCTACTGTTTTTTAAGGAATTTTATGAGGGTAAGGGCTGGGATTTGGAAACCAACCACTCTTTCCTCTCTCTTATTCCTAAAAAGGCCAATCCGGAGGAGTTAGAAGATTTTAGGCCAATTAGCCTAGTTGGGGGTTTCTATAAAATTCTTTCAAAAGTACAAGCGAGAAGGTTAAGCTTGTGTATTAATGAAGTTATTAGTCCATCACAATTTGCATTTATACCGGGGAGACATTTTGGATTCCTCGTTTATAGCAAATAAAGGCATTGATTATTGGAGGAAAAAAAGATTGAAGGGAGTTGTTTTTAAGGTGGATTTCAAGAGAGCCTATGATTCGGTTGATTGGAGGATCTTGCTGGAAATAATGAGTAAAATGGGGTTTGGAGCTAGATGGAGTTCTTGGATGTACAAGTGTATCTCAACAGCTTCCGTTTCGGTTTTGGTAAAAGGCACACCTACAGAGAGAATACACACTACTAGAGGATTAAAACAGGGTTGTTCGTTATCCCCTATGTTGTTCAATTTGGGAGGTGAATTGTTACATTTAATGTTGGTGAAAACAGTGGACAAAGGGTTGTTTTCGGGTTTTGAATTAGGCTCGAAGGATCATTCTTTTATGTTATCACATTTGCAATTTGCGGATGACTTAATAATTTTTAGCAAGGCTTCTACTCATGATTTGGTAAATATTAGAAGGGTGCTTTTAATTTATGAATTGTTGGTGGGGCTGAAGTTGAATATGAATAAGAGCAGAATTTTTGGAATCAATGTGGGGGAGGAGGAGTTAGCTTTTTGGGCCATGGAAATAGGGTGTGAAAGAAGAGCTTGTCCATCGGAGTACTTAGGTCTACCATTAGGGGCTATGAGGAATTCTTTTTCCTTGTGGGAACCGGTTGTACAAAAATTTTATAACAGTTTGGTTGGTTGGAAGGCCAAGTCTCTGTCATTGGCTGAAAGGGCAGTTTTGGTCAAATCAGTGTTGTGCTATCTTCCAATTTATTACCTTTCTATTTTTCGGATCTCTCTTAGTGTTCTCAACAAATTAAATTCTATCATGGCAGCTTTTCTATGGGGGGATCGACAGAAAAAAAGAACATCCATTGGGTCAAATGGGAATTGGTGTGTAAGCCAAAGAAGTTGGGGGTTGAGGATTCTGAATCTGTTGCTTTTAAACAGGGCTCTTATGGGGAGATGGGTGTGGAAATTTGCTGTAGAAAAAACCTCTTGGTGGAAAATAGTGGTATGTTGTGTAAACAATATGGATCCAAATTCAATGATGATCCGGAATACTTGGACATCACATACTTGGATTTGTAGAGGAGTTGTTAAGATTTTTTTTCAAGTGATGCATTTGGGGATTGTTTTAAGAAAACTTTATGTGCTAGAGCTGGAAATGGAGAAACATTGCAGTTTTGGCATGTTGTATGGTTGGGTTGGTTCTTCTGAAAGATAGGTTTCCAAGGTTATTTGCTCTATCGAATAACAAAGGGGGGAAGGTTGCAGAATTCAGACTGTGTAATGATTCAGGTGGGGTCTGGGATATTCAAACAATAAGGAATTTGGTGGATTGGGAGGTTGAGCAGTGGCTGCAACTTATCTCTCTCTTGAACAGTTCTTCATTGTCATTAGTAGAGGATGATTGTTGGATTTGGTTCGGAATTGGTGAGGGTTGTTTTACAGCAAAGTCATGCATGCAATTGTATTTTGATAGAGAGAGTAATGATGAAGTACAAGGTAATTGGGAAAGATATGTTTGGAAGGGGGCAGCTCCACCACGAGTGGAAACCTTTGTTTGGCAACTTGCTCATCATAGAGTAGCGGTGAAGGAGGAGCTGTTGAAGAGAGAAGTTACTGGGGTGGAAGACATTGTGTGCTCTTTGTGCAGGAAGTGCAATGAGTCGGTCTCACATTTGTTTATGCACTGTGATGTGGTGTGGGATTTGTGGGCTAAGTTTTTAAAGTACTAAAATGCTTGCTTTGTGGTTCCGGCTAAGTTGATAGAATTCTTAATTGCGTGGGATGAGCTTGTTTCGAGATCTATCATATGGAAGTTTATCCCTAGGGTTGTACTTTGGTCGGTTTGGAAATGTAGGAATGAGGTGATTTTTCAGCAAGGAAAGGTTGATTCTGTGCTGTTGTTCTTCATTACAAGATTCAGAATTGTTTCTTGATTTGGAGCTTCATTTAAGGACGTCCATGTTCCTTTTGATTCCTTGATGGGGGATTTACAACTAGCAGACTTGAATGGTAGACTTGAATGGTAATCTGAAAAAGAGGTCTCCTCCTTCTTATAGGTGGAGTCCTCCTCCGGAAGGATTCTTAAAAGTAAATGTAGATGGTGCAATGGTCAAAGGTTGGGATAAGGGTGGAATAGGTGGATTGATTAAAGATGGTAGTGGTTCGGTGCTTGGGTCGTTTTCAGAGAAAACAGGGGGAGGTCCTCCTTTACTTGCGGAGCTTTTGGAGATCAAAAGAGGGTTGAATCTTATCGAGGAAGTTGGTTACATTCCAAGTCAGAGGATTATTTTGGAATCGGATTCTACTAATGCTCTAAAGTGAATTAAGAATCTGGACCTTAGTACTTCTTTGTTCAAATCCTTGGTGAGAGATATAGCTACTCGTGTGGAAAGGAATGGTATTATCACAAGGCATGTTTCAAGAGCTGCAAATTGGGAAGCAGATGAATTAGCAAAAGTTGGTATAGGTTGATTTTTGGGTTTCTGTGTTATACGTTGGTTGTTCTTTTTAAGGGAGTTATGAGGGTGTGTTATGTATTTAGAGTTATGGATTAAAGGTTATGTTGTTAGTAGTTAGCCATGAAGGTGTGGAGGTGTATTATTGTTCTCATTAATAAAAGTTAGAGGCACTCTTTTCCTCCTTCCTATGTCCTTCATGTTATGTTTATAACATGTAGGATATGAAGGGGTTTTTTAATGAGGCCTTATTTTATCAAAAAAAAAGATACATTATGACATCAAAATTCTATTCAAAATTTGTACCAGATAATTTATATTCATAAGTAATGCACTTCTGTTTTGATATACTGTTATTATGTTACATGTCTCAGCTATGTGTTCATCAAGCATAAAAGGTGAGGCATGGGCTTTATATTGCCATTCGAGGTCTGCTATTGAAGTACAATTTCACACTGGAAAATAGTAAACAGATGTTTTTGGTAGGTTAAATTCTATCAATTTCATTCTTAGTTGTTGATTGTAAAAATCCTCTTTAAGTGAAGGATTTTGTTTTATCTCTTCTAAGTCTTAATGCACTTTATTATAATAAATGTTGAGGTTACTCTCATCATAAGGGGGAAACATTTTTAAGAGGGATAACTGAATGAGGGGATGTAATGTTGAATATGGGGTGGGGAGAGAGTATAGAGAAATAGAAGGAATGCTAAGAGGAAGGAGAGAAACTAGCAAGAAATACAGGGTAGAGATAGATAAACACAGGAGAAAAAAGCCATTTCCAATAACTCAAATCTGTTAGTTCTCATCAAAAGCTACCATAAATTTAAATAACAAAAGAAACCATGTAGGGTATAACCCATGCCCTAAAACAAGAGAGAAAACCAGCTATTATGATTTAGTTCAAGATAAGGACTGTATTGGTTAGGTGGTAGTGGTACATGTATGATAAATGGGAGCAGAGGATTCTTTTAAGGTTGTAATGGTTCTAAGTTACCATCACCTCTAAATTTGGTGGGGGCCCAAATGAAGCATATTCACGGTATGCTGGATAATAACTATTTTCAGTAGGAGAATTAGGTACTGCCCTCTTTAGTTTGTATTAGATGGTGTATCTGCTGTGATTTTAACCTCAGTGGGAGGAGATTTGTATGGTAGTAAACTGAATCTTCTGACCTGGAGTTCCAAGAATGCTTCATCCAAAAGGTGCACTTAAATATTTGAAATTATGTTATCTCGAAGTTCTTGGTTATAATTTGAGTTTCCGACCATATGTTTAAAATTTTCAGGATTGCTTTAATTATCTCATTCTCATGTTATTTCTTTTTATGTTAGGGCATTGCCTAGAGATTATTCTTTCTCAATATGATTGATTCCATTGCTGTGAAATTTTTTATGAGTTTTTAGTTGTTTTGGGATATATTTAATATGATATATCCAATAATCATGCAGGACTGCTTATGTGCTTTGGTTATTGATGAATCTTAAGCGATTTCAGATACTGCCCAGGACTTCATGGAATATTTATTCTCCGCCTCTGGGAAACATCATGTAGAACACGACGTTGCTGTGATTTTTGGCAGGTTTTATACTTGTGCAATAATGTTAAGCTGCAAGTAACAAGGTGAATTTCTCTTTTTTTGAATTAATTCCCTTATAAGTTCCTTTTTGAAACAGGCTTATTGAAAAACTTCCAAAGTTTGTGCTCGGGAGTAATGAGTCACTTGCACTTTCACATGTTCGGCAATTGCTTATAGTGATATATTATTCTGGTCCTCAGTTTTTGTTGCATCATCTGCAATCTCCTGTATGTGTTCCGTTTCCACCATTATGTTTGTACATATATTAATGTGGTGTATGAGTTGTTTGTAATCAGTGATTTCTCAAATAGATATCCATAAATGTTATATGTTCAATATTGAATATCTGGTTGTTTGGCGGAAATAGTGTATAGTACCTAAACTAAACAGACTTTTATATCTCTTGATGTGCACTTCGAAAATCTAATAGGGTTGCACTTGAAAGACATGATTTATGTTCCTCGGTCATGTGAATGGGTGCCAAGAACCAGTATTTATCCAAGTCCTAGACATGTCAACTATCCTGTGACTAAAACACGGAATTTGGTACAAAGAATCAAACATGAGCATATTTGCATGGACTCTTTGTACAACTTGTACCTTATTAGGATGATTGCTAACAATTCTAAGTTTTCTTGAGTCTAATAGTTAACATAATAGATTGTTAAACGTAAACTAAAGCATCAAGCATACCTAAGCAAGTGTCAATTAACAACGTGTCTATAAAAAATATCATTCTATCAAGTTACGAGAATGATAAGTTAGATGAGAGAAATCCTTAACACATTGTTTGAAAGTTTTGTTTAACGTTATCTTTGAGGCAGTGGATTAAATGGTAAATTGTTGGTTTCCCAACCACAAATGATATATTGGAGTTAGATGATTTCACGACATAGTTTGTGCATAAATGTATCTCCATATATTCCTATCTTCCTTCAGTTGTTTTTGTTTAAAGGTGTAAGGGTTTTATGATATAATTGAATAACAGTCAATTGGAAGATTAATGCATATCTTCCTTCAGGCGTTCTTGTTACTAATAGGTTAAGATGTAAAGGTGAAACAAAATAATTGAATAGCAATCAATTGGGAGGTTAAAAAGTGGCATTAGAATTGACTTGCCACTTTAATGTAGAAGCCACCATTGCAGATCACAGTATCTTGTGATACCACTTGTCCTCTTCAAGCCTTCAGCTATAAATGCCCTTCATGGAAGCTTTCCTGACATATATATTAGACATAAAGTTGCTGGTAGACTGAAGCCATAAGGAATGGCAAAAAAAACTCGAATCTGATGGGAAAAATCGAAAATCGAATTAAATGGGATGGGAAAAAACCGTTTATGTTAAACTGGAACGGGACGGAGAAAAACCGTTTATGTTAAACGGGGACGGGGACGGGAACAAATTTAGTAATCCCCGCCCCGATTACCTGATTATCCAACCCGATACCCGGCCCGATAAATATTAAAAATAATTATTATATATATATATATAATATTAATAAATTTAATTTAAATTAAAAAATATATATAATATTTATATATTTAATTTAAATATATATACCCGGCCCGATACCCGGCTCGATACCCGACTCGATACTATTTATACTAAACGGGGATACCCGTTTCCCCGCGATTTTTCCCGATTACCCGATGGGGATCCCCGTTTAAATCCGCAATTTTTTAAGCAGGGACGAATACGAAATTTTTAAACGAAAACGGAGACAAAAACCAATACTCGGCCCGTTGCCATCCCTAGAAGCGATGTTGTCCATCAGATATCCATTATGATCATGATAACTTCTGTTATATTCTTGTTACTACTAGTACTACTAGTTGAATTTGATTGACATTTTACTTTTTAAAAATTTATCTTTTGCATTTTAGATTACAGCTGCCAGATTCTTGGATGTTTTTGCCCTCTGTCTTAGTCAGAATTCGGATTTTACTGGTTCTCTAAACAAGCTTGTTTCAACAAGGTCGTCTTCAATCGGATACCTTCCCTCTGTTGCTGAGTTGAAAGTCTTGCATGTTGTGGGTGAGAGTGAGGTCTTACACCATGATGCTTCATCTAAAAGTTCAAAGCTCATGGGTATTCATGAAATTGGAAAACAACACATTGCAGAAGCTGGGCAGACATATCTTGAGCTCCCACGCATGGCCCCTTGGCTTGTTTATGATGGTGATCAGAAGTTATACGAGGTTCTGGCTGGGATTCTTAGACTTGTAGGTTTATCTTTAGTGGCAGGTCATTTTAAATCTTGGAACCCCTACTAATTTATTGAACTTATGCCATATATGCTTTTTACTTACCGTCCCTTGATTGTTTATCTGTATAGACTATAAAAGTGAAGGCCATTTATCAGTTATTGCTGATATTCCATTGGGCTAATTGCGTAAATTGGTTTTGGAAATTATACAGAAGCAATACACTAAAGAGAGCTGTTAGTCTTGGTACCATCGAACTGGTTCAGGGCAGTTGCTGCGCCAGGCCAGTACTGCTGTATGTATTCTAAATTAGATGATATTTGGCGTATCAGATCAGGCAGTTGATGCTTTTAGAAGAATGTTTCAGAAATCCAAGGTAGAAGGGGTAGATTTTCCTGAATCTGATGAAGTATCTTCTGGTGGCCATCCTCACAAACTTAAATCTGCTGTGGTGGATGAATGTGTTTGGAAAGTTGCATTGCAGAAGGGTTCTAGGAGTCACTTCATTGGTTGCATTGGGAATGTCCTACATGAATATCTATGTTCTGAAGTTTGGGATCTTCCAGTAGATCATCAGTCTTTGCTGTTACAATCTGATGTTGAAGTTGAAGATATCACTTTGTATTTCTTCCGTGATGTTTCCATGTTATATCAGGAAATTACATTAACATTATTCTTTCCACTCATTTATGTTCTCTCTCTCTCTTTTTTTTTTTTAATTTTCATGATTTTACTGTGATTCTATTGATTGTGTTTCGTTTCCTGAAACAGGTTATTATTGATGGAATAGGAATATTAGCTATGTCCCTTGGAAGTGATTTTGCTTCCGGTGGTTTCTTACATTCGTCTCTGTATCTGTTACTTGAGAATCTCATATGTTCAAACTTTGAAGTTAGAAGTTCCTCTGAAGCCGTGTTACATCTTCTTTCCACTAAAGCTGGCCATTCAATGGTTTGCTTGTACAACATATTAGAATCTATAATTTATCTGTATATTATGGAATTGATTCAATGGTATTTGCCTTGTTTTTTGGTAGGTTGGGCAATTGATTTTGGCAAATGCTGATTATATAGTTGATTCTGTATGCCGGCAATTACGACATTTGGATCTAAACCCTCATGTGCCAAATGTGCTTGCTTCGATGCTTTCCTATGTTGGAGTGGGTCATAAGATATTGCCTCTGTTAGATGAACCGGTACTATTGCATATCTTAAATGTTACTGATGGCATTTAACATAATCTATCTTTTTAAGATTTGTTGGTTTTTTTGTAGATTTGAACTTCTCAAAAACAGATTATTTTTGTATTTCTCGTTACAATCAGAGTTTTACAGGGGAGTTTTTATACAAGTATTTGTAAAGAGTTTAAGATGGACTAGGGATTGTGTTATCTACAAATTAGGATTCTAGAGTTAGTATTAAAATAGAAAACTAATATTTACATCTAATCATAACTCACACTTCCCCTCAAGGTGGGTCTTACAGTTCCACCATTCACCTTTTCTGCAATGAAGTGTTTGTCAATCTCCACATGCTTAGTTCTGTCATGTTGTTTTAGCAATGTTTATAGCCGACTTGCTATCATTTTGAATTTCAAAGTGGGTTTTGTCGCTAACTCCTAACTCAGTTAAGAGTCGTTGCAACAAAATGCCTTAACAAATTCCAAGTGCCATTGCCCGATATTCTGCTTCTGCACTACTTCTGAAAACTACGGTTTGTTTCTTGCTTCTCCAAGTCACCAAATTTCCTCAAACAAATGAACAATAACCTGTTGTTGATCTCCTATCTGTTAACTCTCTAGCCCAACTTGAATCTGAGAAGATCTTGTTTGTTCTATCTTCATGTTTTTTGAAAATTAACCCATGACCCGGTGTCATCTTCAACTACATTAAAATATAGTATAACGCTTCCAAATGTTATTCTCTAGGATCATTCATGTATTGACTCAATACTCACAGAGAAGGCGATGTATGGTCTAGTAAATGACAAGTAGATGAGCTTGCCATATTGTTCTTTGTTTACTTTTTTTTTATAAGAATTGAAGGCCTCGTTAAAAACCCTCTTCGTAATTAATGGAGCTTGGAAAAAGCTCCTTAATCATTGGAAGGAGGAAAAGAGAGTCTTAGGATTTTATTCAACAACATAAAATACATAGGAAACAACCAGGACCACACCCCCATCAAACAATAAACAACATAAACCGCTCAAAACCCAAAGCAAACCAAAACTATAACAGAAACCTACTCAAAACGGACACAGCAGTACCCTAGATTAGAGGGTGAGTCCTGATTCCCAAACTAGCAATACTATTACAAAGGATCAACCACAACAAAACCCATCGAAAAAGCACAAAACATTACAATTGATCCCCTGCTTAGCTAACCTGTTAGCCTCCAAATTACAGCTCCTAGGAATCCATCTAAGAACGACCCCCTTAGCAGTAATAAGAGCTTCAATATCCTCCACCAGATCACTGAAAAAGGAAGGGGCAGGTTGCAGCTTTAAAATCCAATCCACTGCACATTTGCAGTCGCTCTCAATAATAAGTCTTCCCTTCTTAGCCCAATTTGAGGAATAGAAAAAACCCAATCCTTCCTTAATAGCTTTCAGTTCAGTCAAAATAGGCAAACCAGGCTCTACTGCAGAAGACAAAGAAGATAAAGAGCCGCTGAAAGAGTCTCTCAAGACACCACCAATACCCCTTGCATCCCATCGCCAGTCACTGCTCCATCAACATTGAGTTTAAACATATCCGCTGGAGGAGGAGACAAACCAATAACCTTCTTAGGACCAGAAGTAATGAGAAAAGAATCTGCCCTCGTAGGATCCCCTACTAAAAGGTCTGTCTGAATCCGAACCGAAGGATGTTTAGCTAAGAACCATTTCGCCAATCTAAATCTAGTGATAAAATACAGAACTGAACTGTCACATTTTCCATTTTCAAAAACAACCAGATTTTTTGCCTTCCAAATTGACCAGAAAATAATAGTCGGAAT